TTTATTATTGCTCTTTGTATTCTATTATTCACTTTCTCGTTCACATATTTCTCACACCATACATCTGACGTCTGCTGCAGGGCAGGACTGTGGACTAACCTTTTCATTCAAAGGGGCCAATCATTCCTCCTCTCTGTCACTCCCCCTCTACTTTCATTGCTCCAAACTCTCCATCTTTCTCTGCTGCCCCCTAACCTCTGTCAACAATATTAAGACTTGTGAAAGATATACAATGTGGTCGGCCACCATTCCTATTTTCTGTAAGTCCCAATGTCCCCCTGGGCCTCTGGCAGCCCTTTTTTCCATTTACCGTGCTTCACTGTATTGTATTGTGTTTGCCAAATCACTTTCTCTCTCTCCTGTGTTTTATTGGCAGAGCAGCTGTGAAGAAACTGCTGCCAGAACATTAAAGTTAAACCTAGATTGTTATTCTATTATGTAATTTAGGTGAGACTTTTTATTTGAATGGACAAGATGAAAAAACATACATGGGAGGAATTTGTGTTATGAGCCCATGTTTTGAACACATTCTTCATTAATGGATTAATCATAGGTTCTGTAAAATGGCAGAAAATAGTCAAAAACATCCTGAGGGCCAAGGTGATGCCTTTAAATGTTTTGTTTTGTCAGACAAACAGACCTAAACACAGAGGTGAACCAATTACATTTACTCCTTTACTCCAGTAACTTTTTTGAGTAAATTGTAGGCTACTTGTTGGAGCAACGCACTCTTTAGTCTTACTTACATTTTTATAGAAAAATCATTACATTTTCTCAGTTACATTTGTATAATTCTTTTGTTTATTTAACATTTTATGCTTTCCCATATATTCCATTAAGAGGCTGATGGTCTGCTGATCCTAGGTCTGCTGGTGCTTCGCTATCCTGCCGCAGCCTCTCCCCCTCAGGACTGTTCATAGCAGATAAATGCGGAACATTCAGATGATCCTTGGCTTCACTTTTGGCTTTCTAACAGCGCTAGCAGCTAATGTTAACAGACCACAGCACAGAGTGTGGCGAGCTCCGGTTGTGAACGCTAGTCTGAGGTCAGTGCATCAGAGAACTGTGTTTACACTGAACTGACAGGGAACGGTAAACATGTCTGTTGTGTTAATGCTATGAAAAGCTTAATATTATATCCAGTGCACCAAGTATATCATTCTTCAAAACTATTATCAGTCTTTGTGCTTGTATTAATCAATCAATCAATCAATTTGATTTATTTTTTGTGGACATGAGTGATGTAATGTTTCAACTACACATGGTCCTCCTCGAGTGAAGGTGAACAAATGTGTATTTAACCGGCAACTCATGAAGAAATGTCACATCATTATCTCTTAATCAGCCTAGTCGTCTGATATGAGTCATTTTCAGTAAGATTAGAGACAGATTTGTCCACTTGTGTAATCTCATTCTCTTCATTTGATTGTAGAGACATGAATGTGCTGAGCAAACACCTGATCTCCAAGTGTCTTTGATTGGAACTGAGACTTACTGGGACATATATGTGCATTACATTGATACTCCTTATAGTTACTTTTGGAAGAAAGTAAGGATCTGTGTATATCTGATGTCTCATTTATTTGCCAAATCATAATATATTGGAGAAAACACTTAATATCCTATTAATGTAATATTGTGGGTGTTTGTACACACTGCAGAGATTCAAACTGTGATTTCATTTAATTTATTTATTCAATGTTGTGTCCTGGAATATACCAGATTATACAGTCAGGAGATGATGACACAAACTGACTATAAATACAGGTGTGTTTTCATTTCTTTACCCGATGAAGAGCATCTGTGGTTGACATGTCAGTCATATCATATAAAATGGAAGAAGTGTACACTGATGACAACTTTTATTCCTGCTTGAGTACTTGTTTTGACAAAGTAATAGTACTTTTACTTGAGTTTTTGGCTATTCTGCCTAAACTCAAAAATGTTTAAAATACAACTGGGAAAATAGCACATCTTCACAATTTAGAAGCCAGAACCATGCTTGAAAAATGACATAGACAACTAATGATTTTCAAAATAGTTGCAATCAATAGTCTGTTGATTGACTGATTGATCATTTCAGCTCTACATTTGTGAATACTATAGTAATCATCAACACTATGCCCAACTCTTCACTTATCTACCTGAACTAAAACACCAAGTCTGGCCTTAATTCTAAACCATGTTCTTTTTCTAAATCAGACAAGCAAATACTCCTATTTTTCTGTCCCATTTCTCTCACTGTCTTACTGCTCCACCCCATTGTTCCCCGTAAAGCTAAATAAATAAATGGCTTTGATCTGTGATGGTGCAGAAATGACCTTTGACCTTTCCCTGGGCCTTCACGAAGAATTTACCGCTCATTGAACCAGCTACTCTCCATCACTGACCCATCACAAATCCGCCCAGGGCAGAAACAACACATTACTGTGTTTATTTTCCCCTCAGGGACGGATGAAATAATCCGCTTTCAAATTTAGATGGACCCATATAGAAGATTTAGAGAATAAGACCCTACAAAAACAGACAAATAAATATGATACTGACATATAGATTAAAGCATAATATCTGTCTATCTTCCACATCAACTGTGTAAGTGAGGCATTGGCATATGGCTGGTGAATACTTGGAATCATCCTCCACATGATATGATTTGCTTTATTGATGTCTGTCAGGTTGCATAATCGCAGGATAGGCTGACCTGTTATAAGGAAACAGTCTAATCCTTTCCCACACAATTCGGCGTCTGCGCTCATCCGATTAAGGGAGCACATGAGGCACACAGAAAACCATGATATTAAACCGATTAGGTCAGGTGGAATAGTCTAATTATACAGGATTATATATATATATATATATACTCTAGAGTTGGAATTATAAATTGATTAGGCTGCTAGGAATGAAACCAGAGACTCCCTAACAAAAAACTGCAGTCACATTAATATATATAAAAATATCCATCCACCCATAAATTATCCATCAGAAATGTCCTTTGACATGATTTTTATTGTTCTCTAACATGCGTTAATTATTCACCTAATATTCAATTCATTACAATACAACTTTATTTATCTCTGTAAGGGCAACTGTATCCAGCAGCTTCACAGGTACACAATAAATAGAAAAAGAAAGAAAGAGCATTCATGGATTATAGTTTGAGGTTCATATATTAACATATTGTATGCATCATTGCTTAAAGTCAATTTAATCACTAAAAGGAAAAGTGTGCAGCTCGCACAGCGCCGCTCCTGATCCTCTGCTTCCACACCCTCCTCCTCGCCATATGTTGTAGTTTTTTATTTTCATTTTTTTATTTATTTATTTTTTCTTGGAACATCACAGTTTTGTAATAGCAAAATGTGTAATTTCAAGAGATGTCTTTGTTTTAAAAATAACTAAACATGAAAATGAATCTCTGAGTGCCTGTGTTTTTCACTTGGGGTTGCCTGTTCCAGCGTCCTTTAGCTGGCGTAACAGGTGACATAAGCGACCGAGCAGGCCATATAGTCTTTATCATAGAGTCAAGCAGCTACAAATGCCAAATGGATCACATGGTTTTTTGGGGGGTTTTTTTCTGAGGCTAATCCCCAAATAACCCGGGTACAATAAATTAGACATTTGTTTGGCGACTGCATTTTACAAATCCTGCCACCTGTTTTCAGCGCTTATTTCGCCTTCCTGATCTCGTCCAATGGGAATGAACGGCAGGACTGGAGGCGGAGAAAAGAGGGAGAGAAGTTGGAGGAGAGAGTGAGAGACAGACACGGGGAGACAGTCAGCTGTAGATTGAGTGGAAGTCGGTGGAGTCACATATTAAATCACAGACTTCACTGCTCATCTTAGGACTGTTACTTGACGTCCAGCTTTGCGTTTTGTTTTGTTTTTTGGGTTTTTTTTTTTTTTTTCCCCTCCTTTTTTTTTTTTTTTTTTTTTTTTGCCGGTTTATGTTGCTGCACATTTTTAACGTGCAGCCACAGGTTGACCGATTTAAACCAAGCACCATGGACTATTCCTCTTCATCTCGTGTCGATTGTCACTGACAGGATCGAAATGGGCACCATCCTTAGATTACTGATGACAGAGGGAGAAATAAACTGATCATATCAAGTGAGCGGAGACGGAGGCAACATCTGTGGGAAGCGACGCACAATTTCGGCAGACAAGCGAGGACCTGTGGAGGAGCTGTATGAAAGGAGGCGAAAGGATGATGGGATGGCCGTGACAACATGAAAAAGAAAAAGTGTGGTGGTCTATTTTCATCCAGCCAGTGATTCAACACAACTAACCTGGGGGACAGGGACTGAGAGAGAAGAGGTAGGAGGTAGGTAGAGAAACAGACAGGGAGGAGGGGGCCGTGAAGGTGTCTGGTTATATCATACTGAAAGTAGGTTATTGTTTTGGATCAATCAAATGCAACAAAATGCAGCCAACTTATGGTTAACTAGTCACAGTACTTCCCTTGCTATCAAAATTGACTCATGTGGAATTATTATCCTTTAGTCTCTGAGCCTGATCTCATTTCCATGGTGTAAAGCCAGAGGATTTGTACCATCCTCCAGGCTAACAACAGTGTAACACGGATGACATTTTATGGCATAGACTGCTGGAAGCGCTGTGGGATGTGAGAGAAGGAGAGGACACTGGGAAACAGAAAGAGAGAGAGAGCGCTGAGAGAGGCTGACTGGGCAGCTTACTCAAATGTGACTCAAGGAATAACATATTCCCCAATTACGACCACTTTTCTTCACTCTGCTGCCCCTCTTTGTCACACATCTTCAGCTTTTGGAGTTCAGTCTTTCCCCTGAATTTGTTCTAACTAACCATTGTCCAGCACAATTCTCATCCACTCCTCCCTCCATCCTCTCTGGCGTTGTCTGTCCTGTCTTCATTGCTACCGTCAAGATAAAGAGTACGTATTTTGTGTAGTTTTTCTCTTTACAGTTCTTCTCTTCTCTTTTTTGTCTTTGTCTCTAGACAGGTGCGTGGCCACAGCCGTGACCATGGAGCCTCCCCCCTCTCTAAGCTTGGCTCTGCTAGGAGGGAGCGAGGATGAGGACCAGCGCTTCCTCTTTCCCCTGGGCATTATATCCCATCCCTCCACCACTGGCAATCAGCCAGGATCAAACCACTCCAACCACATGGGAGGATCAAGCCTCGACCGTCTAAATGGCAGCACCCCGTCCCCGTCCCCTGCCACGCCCAACTTACCTCCAACATCGCTCCCCAAGTTACCCCTGTCCTCCTCTGGAGCCCAGCCTCTGCCCCCACCCATCCCCAACGCCCTGCACCCCACCAGCACCCCACTGTCCTCCTGCTTGGGCTCGCAGCACAGCCTGAGCGGGGACAACTCCCCGGTCTACAACGCCCTCTTTTACTCCTCCCACTCACCCTCCATGGAGCGGGAGAGGGACAGAGAGCGTGACAGGGACAGGGAGAGAGAGAGGGGCTGCAAACACAGACAGGCCAGCCCTCTGGTTCACCGTAGGGACAGTAACCCCTTCACGGAGATCGCCATGAGCTCCTGTAAGTACACAGGCGGGGTCATGAAGCCCCTGAGCCGCCTCAGCGCCTCCCGCAGAAACCTCATCGAATCAGACAGCAGCAGTGAAACCAAAGAGGGTGGCGTTTCAGCTGTTGCCGGGGCAACGGCTGCTGGGGGGCATGACAGACAGCGAGAAGCCCTACCTACCTCTTCGGTGGCCCAGTCCTCTACCAATCAACCCCCAATCCAGAGCCCTCCAGAGATTGTGATTTCATCCAAAGAAGACTCGCCGTACCTCAGAGGAGGGTATGACATCACTGACTCCACATCCAACCAGATGTCCATCTACCACCAGAACCACGCGCTGGTGGAGAGCAGGCGGGCGCAGCCGGGGAGGGGCAGCAGGCAAGGAGGGGTCGGGGCGGTGGGCACCGGGCCTAGGGGCAGCACCTCCAAGGCCCCTAAACGGAAGAACCAAAACATTGGCTATAAACTGGGGCATCGCAGGGCATTGTTCGAAAAGAGGAAGAGGCTGAGTGACTATGCCCTCATCTTTGGAATGTTTGGCATCGTCGTCATGGTGATTGAGACGGAGCTGTCATGGGGCGTGTACACAAAGGTGAGGGGATGGGCCGGTGATACTTAACGATCACTTTAATGATCACTAGCCATAGTTAGTACTACTCAGCCTGGGAAAACGGGTGTATAATGTCTTCTGTGGCTCTGGGAGGAGAAAGATATCCTAATGATGTCATACTGATGTCATCAGGGTTATCTTGGCTTGGGTGTGACTACAAATCTAGAACATAAAGCCCGAGTTACAAACTGGGGGTGTGGCATTTCAAAGACGTACATTTACCAGGCAGGGAGGGTCTAATGAAACACACTATCAAGTTGCATAATGGGAAACGTAGGATCCTGTGTTTGGCCCTTACTGGGAGCTAAAAGTCAGGATATCTCTGTCTCTGCCATTTCAATTTTGACCATTCTGCTTTTCATCTGTCTCTCACAAGGCCTCCAACTTTATGAAGGTGAAATAGTAATTTGATGGAGTGCCTCTTTAAAGTAGCTCCATTCCTTTCAAGTCTCCCCAAAAAGAAGCTACGTGTATTGGTGCTTAGCTGGAATTTCAGTCTAACCTTGGCTCTTTTTAAACATTTTTGAGCAACTTTTGCCTCTCATTTTGATAGTAGCCATTGATGACTGACAGGAAATGTAGGGGGAGGATCAAAGAAAGGGGATGCCATATAACAAAGGTCACCAGCTAGATACGTTAATAGTATGCGTATTAACCCAGATCACAAGGGCACCCAAACTTTGAGTATTTTGGATGGGTAGGTGGCCAGATAATTGGCATCAGGTTTCACTAGTTAATCACCTAATTTATGATTGGCACTCCCCATTCAGTCTGACCAGAACCATGCCAATGTTGTTGGAGGGTTATGTACTGTAATGACCAGGCTTGACAGTTGCTGCTTCTGGGTGATGTAATGCAAGGATGCAGAGGACATGGGGGGGGGGGCAGATTATCAGTAGGAGGCCAGGATCTCATTTGTCTGTGTAATGGGGAGTGTAATAAGCTGAATCGGCCCCTGGCTGCTATTGTCTGTTTATTTTGGTCGTGTGTGTGCATGTGTGTGTATGTGTCACAGGGTCCCGGTAAGCCTAGGAGCATGTTGTGCTCACCTTCCTTATGCAGAGATACTTCTATCCCCCGTTTCATCCTTACTTTCGGTCTGACACATCACAGAGAGCTGGTTTTCCTTAGTTAATAAGGTGGAAACATTACTTCCACTTATGCAGCTTGTCATATATGGATCACTGATCATGTGAAGGAGGATGTGGGATCATGTGAGTGCACAGATTTACAGGTAGCCTATTAGAACAGGCCAGCTGGGTGTGTCTCTCCTCTCTATCTCCCCCCTCACTGTTTCTCTTTCAGTCCGTTTGTGGTCTCCAGTTGATACTTGGTCTCTCTGTTCTTGTCATAGAGAGATCTCCCTGTTCTGTTTTGCTTGCTGTGCCTTGGCTTAGTTTCTCCTTTGCTTCTGTCTCCCACTCATTACTTTATGAAAATCACTGTTTTAAAGGCAGTCGGTCTCTTTTTATTAATGAAAATTCATGGTTTGAATTTCTTTCTCTCAGTCTCTCTTTTCTTCCTTTCAGTCGGCCTATTCTCCTCCCTGAAGGAGACAGCCGACTCTTTCTCTGTCTGTCTCCTTTCTATTTCAACTCCGCGCCCGTCTCTTTGTACTGCTTTCTTTCTTCCTGTCTTTAATTTTTCCCCTCACTTTCTCTCTCCCTCTGCTCCTCTGCTTCTCCAGTGGGCGTCAAACTGGGGGAGTGTGATCGGAAGAGAGAAGCGGCTGGGCGAGAAATGAGAGGCTGTAGAAGGAGAGAAAAAGGAAAGGCGATAATGAAAAGCCTGATTTAGGTTCTTAAGCTACAACCAATAAAGTCCTCATCTGAATCAGGCGGCAACGTCTATCAATAAGAATTGATGGACAACTGTGAATTTGAGCAGGGAAGCCACTCTGTTTGCAGGTGCTCTTAGCTACTATATTGATTAATCTATGTTCATTAAGATATCCAGTTAATAACAGGATGTCAGAGTTGAGGTAGAAGAGTATGTAAAATATCTTTGGACCTCATAGTCTCCTTTCGGGGTTGTACATTTTTAAAAAGAGGTTGAATCCAGAGAGTTAAGTACGATTCAGCAAATTCATTTTTAAATGCCAAGTGCCAAGTTATATTTTGTCCTTTTTTTTTTTTTTTTTTTTTTTTTTTTTTTTTATGGTTGCGGATTTGGTTTGACTCCAACGGATACTGGCGTTCCATCAGACAGTTCAAGCCCTCACTTAGATAATTGAGGTGGAAAGAAGCCCGCTGGTTGTTGTGAAAAATGGTTAGAGATCATGAGGATGAAAGAGAGAACGGAAAAGGAGATGAATGGGAGGACAGCAAAGGGAGAAGTGGAAAGGTCCATGCAGTGCTTTAAACCACTGTAAGGGGGGAAGCCTTGAATGATTTTTTTTCTATTGATTATTGATAATCACTCACCCACACATGCACTTTCCACCCCCCTACGCACATGCCGTACAAACGCGCACATCGAAAATGGATGCTGACTTTCAGAGGTGCTATATCGTGTGCTAAGTATTGATAGCCGTCACTGAGAGGTGGAGTGAGCGCTCATGAGGAAATGTGATAGGTACAGATCATTTTTCATCACTGAAAATATATACAGTATGCATGTGTATATATCTATATCTATATCTATATATAGATATAGATATATACATATACATATAAATATCCTGTTAACAGCTTCATGAGACGTTGTGTCTTTGACAAGAGCTGTAAACTCAATGTCACTGTTTACTGCCAATGTATGAATGTCTACCAAGCGCTCCTGCACTCTTTTTTAGCAGGTCCAGCTGCTCTGTGTTGCTCCCAAAAATAGAGATGAAGAATAAGAATGGAACTAAACAGGGTGGGTTGGATGGTGCATGTGTGCATTTGTGAGTGTGTTAGCAGGGATGAAAAGAGCGAGGTTAACAGAGGAGGACATGGTGTTCGTGACTGTGGATATAGTGAGTAAGCATATGTATATTCATGTGCAGAAACAGATTTCAGACCCTGTCAGCACATAGTGTAGCTACAGCTGAGATATCCCGGTAATTGTATCATAGCATCTCCCTTCAGTTAATACCAAGTCATGTTCTAGATAAACACTAAGGCCACATCTGAGATCATGAGGTTATGTTTTTGTTGCACAGAAAAACTATTCTCATGTTCAGCATGTAGAGTATATTCAGCACTTTAGTAAATCCCTGTACTGTAAATGTACAATCACAGTTATTGAGCCAAGACAGATTATGCAGAGAGAATACTGGATGATGAAATAATTCATGAATGTGAAATAATTTAATTTGCTCTCAGGCAGAATTGTGAGTTTTCACACAAAAGCCATCCAACACAAAAGCAAAAGTGAGGGTTTCAAATTTCTACCATAACTTTTCTTGCGACATGTTTTGAGAGTTTGTTAGATACTGTACATCTTTGCTGTCAAAACACTGTACTGTATTTTATCTACATGTTCTGTGGCACGTCTTCATGATCAGTGTCACTAGTTCACTGCCTCTGACCCAGGACCTTGACACTTTAAATGGCAGAAAGGGAACAGCTTCTCTTAAAAACACTTTTATGAGCTTCTATTATTGATTTTATTAGGAACAGGTTAAAGAAGAGGAGGTCCGACATCTGTCTGACATGTGTCTCTATCTGAGAATAACTGAGGCCCTGAGACACCTGGGACCTTAGCATGCGGCATGTCACTGTCAGATCAATAGATCATTTCACAAAGGCCCACTTGGCTCCTCGGGGGCCCGGCTTCACGCCACGTATCGGGCCTGCGATGGAACATGGCTATTCTGAGGGAATGCACAGCTGTTGTCAACTTCACCTGTCAAACTGTCAATAGACACACTTGACACCTCACCATACAGATGGGTGTTATGTGTTAGAGAGATAGATGGATGGGGTATCATGTGTTAGCATGTACCCACTTACTGTCAGTTTCTCACCACCAGCATTGGAGGACTTCACAGATTAGCAACGGTGTTCGCTTTCATTCTCCCTCTCCTTCCTTACTTCCTTCTTCTCACTTATGAGGAGTGTTTACTGGCAAATCTTAAATACGTCTTCGTTTCCCCAAAGGGGTCATTGCCATCTCAGCAGGCTTACAACATCTCTCTCATTCCATCAACACTACCTTCGCCTCTCCATCACAGCCCTCACCCCCCTGCCTATGACATTTCTTGCAGACATTTACTGGGAGACCTTTCTCTGCTAGGCCACTTACAGTGGCTGTGTGCTGCTTTTCAGACAGTATATGAGGATCATCAGGGAATTAAATGCACCAACTGCCACCATATTCTCTAAAGGAGCTATCAGCCATCTCAGCACCTCTGCGCTGCTCTCCCCCTTCTCTCCTCCTCCTCCACCTCCTCTTCCTTTCCTTTCCTCCACTCCACTCCACGCTCCCTTCATCTTCTAGATCACAGGCTTCTAAGGGACGGTAGATCCCACAGGTCTTGCTACTAACAGGTACAAATATGCTCATTTCTTTCAGTATAACAAGGCTGGGCTACCTCTGTCTGCTAGTGTGAGTGTGTTGGTACACATGGGTGTGTTAGGACTTGCATCATCCAGCTGTAACGTAAACATTCACGTCACTGACTATGAGTTGTCTCCTTTGTGTATACACACGTATGGAGTGTGTGTCTTTATGGATTCAGTTCATTCATATTAGTACCCATGGATGCACCTGCTAGTGTGTGTGTTTGTGTGTTCACATCCCCCTTTGTCTGGATTAAATTGAGTGTGTAGGGCTGTAATGGTGTGTGTCAAAGTGCAGTTGAGTGTGTGTGTGTGTGTGTGTGTGTGTGTGTGTGTGTGTGTGTGTGTGTGTGTGTGTGTGTGTGTGTGTGTGTGTGTGTTTATCCTGGTAAGGTGACATCGCACCTCTGTCTACTGCCTGTTTCCCTGGAGACTGATTGCAAGAAGGAATCACTCTGACAGGGAGAGACCCCCAAGGCTAACACATTACAACACACT